GCGATGTGGATCCGCTCTTGGAGGCACCTGTTCCTGCACCACTCTAAGCATCCACCATGGGCGTCCAGCTAAAAGATGGTAAAGAAGCGCTTGTGGGGAGGAAACCCCACCATGGTTTGTTTTCTTTTCTTTTGGATGAAGTAATATTAGGCTGACATTGACCTAACGTATCTGTGCTTGTGTCTTCTTTAGCCTTACCCTTGCACCGACTGGTCCCATTCCAGTCCATTCACTCCGACTGGTCCCCCTTCCAGTCTCATGCAGTCCGCGCACACCGGTAACATCGTTCCCCTTATCCTTCCCTCTTCTCCATTGAGGGCAATGTCGAACTTAAGTGTGTGTGGGGGGGGGATGTTTCTATTTTAGCTGCTTAGATCTGTTTGTGTGCTTGGAGCCTAGTCCACTGTCCAAATTTCGATTTGAGGGCTCCAAGTACGTGTTCCTTGGAAATTGCCTTCTAAGTATGCTTTGAATTGGCAGTCTCTATAGTAATGTGCAACCTAGGGAGGTAGTGTAGCACTATGGAGGATGTTGAAGTATAAGATTTTTCCTATCTAGCTCTATGTTGTGTCGGTTGATTTTGTGAATTAGTGGAGTTAAGACCGTTGAATTCATGTGGTAATGGTGACTCCTTTTGAATTGTGTTGTGGACTCGTGTATCGAACAGGGTGCTCATGCGGGAAAGCTCATGCGGGAAATGAAAAGCAGTTGGTCCTCCATGTCGAAATCATTGAAATCTTAAACATGGGGTAAGCCCAACGTGTGTGACACCGTTCATTGCACAAAATCGGGTTTTGGAAGAGATTTTAGTGATCCTTAGTGGGGCACTCCTACAAGGTGAAGCTAAGTTGTCTCTAGTACAAGTAAAATTTTCACCCGTTGAACGGTTTGCCTACTCGAAGATGTGTTTTTAAGGGCACGGATAGAGCTTCCGACCCCCTTAATTTCATTAACCCTCCACACGAGTTGAGGAAAAGGAGTTAAAAGAAGTACTCTGGCGAGTGCCAGATGTACAGAAATTGCTCTTGCTCGACTAATAAGGGTCGACCGTACAAAAGACTGCAGTTGGAACCCCCGTCAAGTGAAGAAAAAAAAAAGAAAACAAATGTAAAATGAAAGTGAAAAAGGGGTTCACCCGGTGAAATGAAGTGAAAGAGCACCCCGGTACAACGAGTCCTTGGTTGTGAATGGTGTGAGTCCCTTTACGCATGAACTGGCTGTCTTACTTCCACTTCTTCTCATGATCCTGGCATGAGTCTAGTACTCGCATTGAGAGAGATAGGGGACGTCATAGAAGACCAGTTGACCTCGTAAGCTGCTATATGATCTAGGAAATCCTCTACCGACGATCGGGGTTGTTTGTTGCTATAGAGGTCTGGAGAGATGCATTGATTTGAGTTAGGTTTGCTTGGGGACAAGCAAACGGTTAAGTGTGGGGGAATTTGATAGACCATTAATTGCACATGTCTTTACCTCCATTCTTGAGCCGTTTGAGAGTCGATTCTCGTGTTTTAAGCCGATTTCATGCTAGGTTGTGTGTTTATGTCATATTTTAGGACTTGGCGTTGACGTGAAGGCGAGGAAACGAGTTTCGGGTCAAAAGGAGGACGTTGGAGTAGAAGGGTGCTGGAGGAGCAAAATACCCGACCAGGAGTGAAAATACCCGCCCAGGTAAATTTCTAAGAGAGGCTGGGGAAAAACCATTTTGGGACGTCGAGAAACAGGAGGGGTCCCGGCCAGAGAGCAAAAATACCCGATCGGGTATTCTGGACCTCGATCGGGTATTAACCCTGTACCACTGCGCTACGTTTCAAAATTCCCGGCCGGGCACCTGGAATACCCGACCGGGGATTACGACCGGGGATCACGAACAACTGGTTCTTAAGGGAAAGAAGGCCAATTTTGCAAGGGTTCAGAGTTTTGGAGAGACAAAGCGTATACCTAGAGAGAGAAAGTGACGAACCTGATTCTTCAAGCGCCCTAGATCGATCATCATCACCATTGGAGCCTGGCTTGAGCTTGGAGAAGTGCTGATTGATTGCCAGAAGCAGAATCCCATCCTTCGCAGTATGGTTTCCGCGTCTGAGCTAGGTTTCCCATCTCTCTCTATGGAGTAACTTTCTCATTCACCTGGGTATGAAGAACCCTAGATTTGTATGTTAGGTCTGATTGTATGAACCCAAGTATGAATTCAGTGATATGATTATATTCAATTGAGGTTTGATTTCTTGAATGACATGAATCCTGATCAAATTCCTGTTATTTCTACTTTAACATAGAAAGAGAATATCTGCCTAGTTTGATAGAGCACCCTTGATTGAAGGTAGTGAATTGACGACTTTAGTCGAGGAGTCAATTCACTATTCTGTACCGGATTTACTTCGGTAGAGGAGGTTTGGTTTGTTAGGGCCTTAGTTTGTTTACTTCGGTGGAGGTTAGTCGCCCTCTGGGGACTCAGATTGAGAGATTCTGGAGACTTTTAGTCGAGACTGCAGACTGTTTAAGAACCTCCCGCAGTATAACCATTGAACTTGAACTTGGTAAATTACAACCTAGCTTAACTGCAGTCTAGGGGGAACCATATCCGGGTGACCTTTCTCAACTTGAACACAACTTTCACTGCTTTGCTTGTTAGTTTAACTAAACCTTCACTACACTTGAACCGCTAGATAACAAGACTTTCACGGAGTAGTCATCACACCTAGGACCCGGGTTGACAATTAGAACTGAACCCGCTATACTACGCATTAGTAGGTGGTTACACTTGGTCACTTTCTAGTGTGACAGTAGAGGCGTATCACCTGCCGGGTATTCTGTCTAAGAGGGCTTGGTCAGCTTAAGAGATTCCAAGCTAATTTCAGATCTTCTGCAGTCTAATCAATAGTAAAACAACCAAAGGGAATTACAATTTGGACCTAGTTGAGGAGCTAGGGGGAATCATACCTAAGTGAGTTCCCAACCTGTAATTAGTAGAGTAGTTAGTAGAGTAGTTTAGTAAATCAATCCTTAATCTAGTTTGCTAGATAATGAACTAAAGCTGAGTAATAGTAACTCTAGAGACCCGTGGATTCGATATTTATTACTTGTGTCACTATACTGCAGTCTCTTTCATTGGTTACACTTGGCCATTGTAAGGAGTTGTGTCGTAGCGTGTCAATCGCCTTAGTAGTCTAACCTTTTCATCACCAACACATGCTAATACATAAAACATAATGTAGAGAAATAAGTAAGAAGAAGAAGCTGAAAAATAGCAAAGCATATTGAGACGAAGAAGTGCAAAAAAGAAAGAAGAACTTACTCTAAAGATGGTCGTCTCTAACTGTATCCTAGCCTAACTATAGAGAAATCAAGACCGTCCTCCCTAGTAGCATATCAAAATGTAGAAAAAAGACATTGTGTCATCATTTTGAGGCACAACTCAATGTTAACTAGGCGCTACAGAGGCTACAACGTGATTGTGACGCCTTCTCCATTGCTTTTTGCCAAGACGAGGCGTTTTCCTTCTGACTTGCACCTAGGTGAGATTAGGCGAGTGCCAAGGCGCAATTTTTACAACCTTGGTTCTAATAATTGAATTATTCCCTAAAGCAAATATATCCTATGAATTCTGTTTAGTTGGAATCCACTTTTGAAGACTCTTATACCAAACTAGACCCGACAATCGGCTCGGGTTGGGGACTTCGATTACGGGTCGGATCATGTTTAGTTGGCTGATTTTGGGTCAAATATTGACCCAACCCATTCAGTTCTCAAATCCTCTCCTTTTAATGAAATACAAATTGCGCAAACCGTCAAAAAACAATCACAAGAGTAATACTACTACAAGAAACACATTATATTTGATTATCATTAAACTCCAAACATGTCATTCAAATCCTCGTGATTTTTTTAACATCTCACCAATTTATGAGTGATTTTATCATTTTGGGAGCAATATATAAAATGAATGGGTCTAACGGGTCGACCCATTAACCCACCCAACCCGACCAAAAAATCACGAGTTATCGGGTCCGGGTCATTCGGATTTCGATTTATAAAAATTTCTACCCTTCGGGCGGTTTCGTGTCAGGTCAACAGGTCGGATTGTAATTTGTCAGGTCTATACCAAACCAATTTTTGATAGAAAATTTGTAATAAATTATTATAAGTATTTTTAATTATCATTATGTTTTCTAATAATTGAACTATTCTCTGATGCGAATATATCCTATAAATTTTTTCTCGATATAAATTATCTAAAGAAGTTATATTTAATTCTCTTACATTATGCTTATGTTTACCAATTTATCTATTTTATTGAAAAAAATTCACTTGTCATTCTAGAAATACTTTGTTTAGAAGGTTTTCTAATTTTTATATTAGATAATATTTGTTGAAATATAGTTTTGGATATCTTTTAAAAGTATTGGGTACCAAAAGATAATTAAAAATTTGGGTTGAATGAAAAAGTAAACTAATACACATTTTGGCGACTTAAATGATATCTGACGCCCTATTTAAACTTAGATGGTATATCTACTTAAATTCTCAAATTTAAATACTACCCAAAATATTTTACCCGTGATTTGCGCGTCTCCTCTTCTTCGTACAGAGAAAAATTAGAGGGATAGCTCTCGTTATGGATTTCGAGGTCTCTCGGATGGTTGAGGAGCTGCTTCTTGCGAGAAATCATGCTACCAATTACCAAATACCTTTTTATTCAATTCTTCTAGTTTTGTTGTAAGATTTGCCAAACTGGAATTGTAATCAAAACTGATTTCTGCTTCTTTAAATACAATAAACAATTTGTTTAAGCTATTAGAATCTATGTTGATAAGAAATGTTATCTTCAACTAATTACACTGATTTGTTAATTATCCATGTTTGCTTTTTTTCCCAGGATTAAAGCAGCGTTGCACCTGGTGAAGTACAGCACCCTCATCATCTTCAAGCTGCTGGCTTGGTCTCCAACAACGCTCTGTCCAGCTTAAACCTTCCCCCGCATCAACCGACCATATATAATGGACGGAGCAAAAGCCGGCTCCGGCGAAGTTCCGGAATTGCTACTGCAGAAAATCAAAGCAGGCTTAGCTAAAGTGTCGCCGCGTTCGACAAGTTGGAGCATCTTCACAGTACCAAACAAACTCCGCAGCGTCAAGGCCGGCGCCTACGATCCTCACATCCTCTCAATCGGACCTTTCCACCACGGCCGTCAGAACCTCGCCGGAATGCAAACCCACAAATGGCGCTACACTCTGTCCCTCCTCGAACGCACCCAGGACGCCATTCCCACAATGGAATCCTGCCTCAAAGCCATCCTCGGCTTCGACCACGAAATCCGCGCCTGCTACGCCGAGCCGATCACCCACGAGCCGGCAGAGCTAGCCGAGATCCTCTTCCTCGACGGCTGCTTCATCCTCGAGCTCTTCCTCCGCTACTCCAACAACGAGCCGAATCTCAACCACGGCGACTTGCAGAACGACCCAATTTTCACAACCTCGTGGATAATTTCCACTCTCCAGAGAGACATGGCTCTGCTCGAGAATCAGATCCCCTTCTTCGTCCTCGAATGGCTTTTCGATTACACGGTCCGCCGAAGCTCCAGCCGCGTGGACTCGCTCCCCGATATCGCTCTAGGGTTCTTCAAATCCGCGATAAGTGGGTCGCTGCCGAGAAATCCGGCGCAGTCCACGGCGGCGGCGGCGACGAATTTCCAGGGGAGGGAAACGATTAGAATGGAGAGAAGGCAGAGCACGAAGCACTTGCTCCACCTGATCCACACCAGCTACCGGCCTTCTTCTCCGAAAGCAGAAGCGAGGCTCCAGATTGGGGCGCCGGCGGCGCCGTCGGCGTTCGTTCCGTCAGTAGGGGAGCTGTGCGCGGCGGGGATTCAAGTCCAGATGCAGAGGAAGCCGACGAAATCGATGCTCGATCTGAAATTCAAAAACGGAGTGCTGAAGATACCGCCGCTGCGGATCCACGACTCCACCGACGCGCTGTTCAGGAACCTGGTGGCGTTCGAGCAGTGCTTCCATGGCTGCCCGCAGTACATAACGTCGTACGTGCTGCTGATGGACCGATTGGTGTACACGATGGACGATGTGGAGCTGCTGGAGCAGAGTATGATCCTGGAGAACTATCTGGGGAGCAGGGCAGAAGCGGCGGACCTGTTCGATAGCATCTGCAAGCAGATTGGGATTCAGGATTTCTACTTCCCGGTGCTCTGCGATGAGTTAAATGAGTTCTACTGCCGGCGGTGGACTTCGTGCTGGGTTGATCTCAGGAGGAATTATTTCACCTCGAAATGGACGCTCGCGTCGGTGTTTGCTGCTTTCTTGCTCCTTACCATGGCTCTTCTGCAAACGCTCTACACAGTTCTTTCCTACTATTCTTACAGAAAATGATTAAGGGATTCAGTGGTTCATTGCTGCAATAGTTGGAATGAAGATTTGACTCCTCGTTGATGGCAGAAGAAGAGTTTGGCGTCAAATGTTTGAGTTTAAGTTAGCTGTCAATAATACCGTTTGGTATAAATGAATTCCATAAGTTTTGCGGAATTTATTTTGAAATTAAATATTTTTGTGTTTGGTACTTAAAAGAATTCATTTTCAATTCTAAATTTTGAATTCTATAGAATTGGTACTAGTTATAGCAATTTCGATCAATTGAGATGGAATTTCCAAATGAATTCCACTACTAATTACCAATTATAATAGAATAACATAATTATACTATTTATTCACTAAATTACTTATATATATATCAAACACAAGAATTTATTTGACAATGAAATTCTACACGACAATTCATTATATTTTTAAAGATTTGAATATGACATACCAAACACAAGATTGGAAGTTACAGTGAATACTATGAGTATACTGAATCTATATACTAGCTAATACACGTTTTGTTAGTATGTAAATCGATGTGTTATTGTCTTTCTTGTTGATTGTTGTCTTTCTTGTATCCGTGCATGACATTATACATTTGAGTATCTGTTGTTTTTATCTCATGTTAGATAAGTCAGCAGTCGCAGAGCTTTAGCTGAGAATCCCGTATTTTTGCTACATTCTCCATCATTTGACAGATTGTCAGATTGCAATACATTTGAGCTTTCATGTTGGTATCAGAGCTTTTTAGCAAGTTGTAACCACAGTATCAGTGAGTGATTCTTTTTGCAATCAATTGCAGACGTGAGAAGTTGGGTAATACGAGAGTATCGTTTGAGGAAGAAAGCAATAAAAGGGTGTGCGAGAAAACATATATGTGTGTATACCCAAGTTTAATGTGGATATTGATCACTAGAGTCTAGTGGTGGAATATCTCCTTCGGTCAAAATAACATTGGAGAGTGATGAATGATGGATTCATAGAGTCAGGAGAAGGAGAAGAGTTGTCAGACACTTGATCAAAGAGACTCGATGAACTAAAACTCAAAGATTTAAAGGCTAAAAGTTATTTATTCATCTCCATTGACAAGGTTATTTGGAAGACATCACAAAAAAAAAATACTTATAAGAAACTGTGAGATTTATGAAGGTGAGATTTCAGGGATCACAAGAATGAAGAAGGCTCAATTGCAAGCTCTATGAAGAAACTCTGAGCTTCTAGAGATGAAAGAAGTCGAGGCCATAACTGATGACTTTAGTAGAGTTATGGTAATAGTAAATTTCATGAGAAATTGTGTTGAGGAATTGACCGACGTTCAAATTGTTAAAATGATTCTCACAACTTCAATTAAGAAGTTGAACTTTGTGGTTTGTCGATCGAAGATTTTAAGGATATAGAGTTATTAATTGTTGATGCACTTCAAAGTTTTTTAATTTTGCATGAGCTAAAGTTTCATAAGAGGAATTATGGAGAACAAGATCAAGATATGAGAACCTTCCAGGTGAAAGGGGTGGTCAAGGATATTGAGCAAGATGCTTACTCTGGTAGGAATAGAACAAGAGGAGGAAGGTGGTTGAAAAAAGAATCCGTGGAACATTTCAGATGCCATAAACTTTGTCATTTTAAGTATGAATGTCCAGAATGGGAAAATCATCAGGCATATTATACTAGTTATCTGTAAGGGTGTGCAACAGGTCGGTCTGGACCAAACTCATGAGGACTGCGTCTATTAGTGAAAAAGATCTTAGGACTAAGGACCGGACCATCATTGCATTCAGTCCATTTGATTCGGTTCGGTCCGGTCCAAATATTAGCTCGGTCCATCATTGCTTCAGTAATTATAAAATTCATGTGGACCAAGGACCGGACTACATTATACTCGATTCGGTGCGGTCCGGTCCAAATTTTAATTTGGTCTGGTGTGGTCCAGTACGGACTGGACCATTGCACACCCCTAGTTATCTCGACAGATCTCAAGGAGTTATGAAGGGTGATGTGTTGTTGATGGCCTATGTTGATGATAGCAAAGCTACAAAGAGAGTGTGCAAAGCAATGAAGCTTGGTGATTTTTGGATTCTGGTTGCACCAATCACATGAGTGGTGATATGAACTGGTTCGTATAAGGCTTAGTAATGATTCTAGATTGGGCATTTTATTTTTGTGTTACAATGTTGCTTTTGTGTTACAAGAAGTATTTTATCTTCCTAAGCGAAGAACTAATCTCCTGAGTGTGGGTCAACTACAGGAAAATGGCATTTCTTTTCTTATTAAGGAAGGAACTTGTAAGTTGTTCCATGATGAAAAATATTTGTTGCTACAAACACAAATAAAGACAAACAAAATGTTTGTTTTTAAGGCTAACCTGAAGAAAAAAGGAGGTCACCCGTGTTTCCAAACTGGCAGCTTTAGAGATTCATCTCCTGAACTCTGGCACAAAAGATTTGGTCATTTGCACATTCAATGGTTGTTGAATCGGCAAAGGAAGTAGCTGGTACAAGATTTATCAGCATTAAAAGGATAGGTTGGCATCTATCATATATGTCTGATAGGCTAAAAACATAGACTTCCTCTTTCGAAGAAAAGAAATCGGAGGGCTACTTAGAATCTACTACTTATTATGATGATCTGAGGCCCCGTTACTCCATTCTCGAATGGAGGTAAGAAGTGTATCTTAACTTTAACTAATGATTTTAGTAGGAAACTATGGTTTTACTTCATGCTTTCAAAATCATGTACACTTCAGGTGTTTAAGAAATTCCACAGCTATGTGGAAAATGAAACTGGTTTAAGTACAAACTGGTTTAAGAACAGACAAAAATGGTGAGATTTATGTTAAAGGAATTCAAAAGCTTGTGTGAGAAAGCTAGTATAAAGAGAAAACTCACTGTTGCCCTCACACCACAACGTAATGAGGTAGTTGAGAGGAAGAACATAGCTTTTATGAACATAGTAATGTGTGTGCTAGAACTCTACAAAATTCACTTTCTTTTGGCCAGAAAAATGTGACATGGATTGCTCATGTCCTAAACAGAAGTCCAACAACAGCTAACAATGAAAAGACTTCACATGAACTCTAGACAGGAAATCCTCCATTTGAGTGTTTGAGTGTGTGGCCTATGTCCACATTCCAAATCACCAAACAAAGAATCTTGATAATAAGACGGTAAGATGTCAATTCTTGGGCATCTTAGTTGAATCCAAAGCCTACAAATTGCACAACCCAACTACGAAAAAATGATGGGTAGCCAGGAAGTAATATTGTTTTTTTTTTTTTTAGATGGGAATCTAAAATTTCATTAAGCTCAGGCCAAGAAAAGCCTCTCAAAACTGTCAAGTACAAAAACATAGCTGTATAGCTACTATAACTAAAGAAGACAAAAAAAAACTTCTATCTATCTACTTCATTTACTTCATCAAGGATCACAAGAATCCTCTGGATTTCCGGATCTCCATTTAACCTGCCTGTGACCTCACCTCGCACAACTCTAATCAACTCCAATGGTGATTTAGCAGGTCTAACACCATACAAACGTGAGCAACGTTCACGCCAAACCCAGCTGAGTCCAACACACCAAAACAGGTGACAGATTTTCGACTTAGCAGAGTTTCCTCCCCAATTCTGCACACACCAGTCAACCATATGCTCCCACTGCAAAAAAGAGGGCGGGGCATACAAGCTCAAACACTTCTCCAACACAAAAACAGTATACGAGCATTGGCTCAGTAAATGAAGTCTATTCTCACTACCACCTAGACATAATAAAAAAAGACCAGAAACCATCTTTCCCCATCTCAATAGCTTGTCTTGAGTTATCAGCCTATCATGCATAGCAAGCCACACTATAAAACCATGTCGAGGGATTATCTCCTTCCCCCAAATCAGCTTTGTCCAAGGCAGTTCAGGATCATGCTGCCTAATAGACTGCCAAACTCTAGTAACTGAGTACCTAGCCATCTTTTCTCCCTGCCACAAAACATCAGGAGCTGTCCCAGAAATAAACTGTGCAGCTACACTTCTGCACTTCAAAATTCTTCTCCAGATCCACATCCCTGCAGAACTAGGGACAACATCCCAAATGTTCTGCTGTTTCAACCGATATCTAGATACCCATGCAACCCAGAGAGAGCCTCCATTTGTTAATATGTCCCAAACATGCCTTAAAACACATGCTTTATTCCAAATTCCAAAATTCCTTATACCCAATCCACCTTCCAGTTTCGGTTTTGCCAATAATTCCCAAGCCATTACAGCCTTCTTCCTTGTACCATCCTCTCCAGAATTCCAAAGAAACACATTACAAAGTTTCTCCACTTCTTTGATCACATACTGAGGCAATAAAAACAGATTTAGCCAATACTGTAAAGTACCAGTAATAACTGAGGATACCAACTGAATTCTCCCCACATAGCTTAGTGATTTTGTTCTCCAGCTCCTCAACCTCTGAGTAATTCGATCAATTAAAACTTGGAAGTCCCTACGAGAGAGCTTGCCTGTAATCAGGGGAACTCCCAAATACTTCACAGGCAGACTCCCAAGAGGAAACTCAGAGAATGCCGATATTGTTTCCTTCTCCTCTTGTGGAATCCCAGCACAAAACAATTGACATTTAGCAGGATTACACCTTAAACCAGATACATAATAAAACTTATCCATCAAGCGCCTAATCCCAGCCACACCACGAATAGAACCATTGGTAAACATGACCAAATCATCAGCAAAACAGACATGAGTAATATGAAGTGGTTTACACCTTGGATGGAAAGGTATTTGATTGTCAGCCACATCCTTCTTCACCAAACAATCCAAAAATTCCATAGCAATAACAAACAGATAAGGGGACAAAGGGTCCCCTTGCCTGAGATCCTTTTTAGCTAGAATTCTACCACATAGACCACCATTTACAGCCACTCTAATCAATGGGGTAGTAATACATGCTCTAATCAATTTCATATAACCATAAGGAAAATTCATCGCAACCATTACCTTGAACAAGAAATCTCAATCCACTGAA